TGTGGGACGGTTGTGTCACCAATGAAGAGGCTGACTGAGAATGTCGGTCAGTTGAAATTGAGCAAATTTTCTTGGCAATTAGGACAGTCAGCTTGCGAGATATGCAGCGCTGACGAATTGCTTTCTATGACCAATGGAGAGGTGGGTGTTGCGACACGTAATGGATTGCTCATTTCCTTCAGCCTCACATCACGTCTGGAAACAGGAAACTCGGTACTTAGGATAAAAAATTACATGTGCTGAGTGGTAAACTTACTGGAGTTTATTTATGTCGTCCACAATCTTTTCCCTTAACCTGTTCAAATTAAGGAACGATACTCTGCCTTAAAAGAAGATTTATTCTTTGCCAGATTGTTAATCGGAATGACGCCAGGATCAGGCATCCCTGACAATATAGTTTTTCCCGCATTACAGTAAAAGACGCTAACTTACAAGTGATCTAAAGTCAAACACGGAGTCAGACATCGCTTCCTAAAGTACAAAGTAAATGACTCCACCGTAGTCTGTCTTTTCTAAAAACACCCAGTTTTCCACTGATTCCATGCATCTGGTGATAATTATTTTCACTGACTCAACAAACATTTGTGTTCTGCACTTGATAGGTCTGACGGTACTAACATTCTGCGGAGAACTATACAGCAATCGTATACTGAAGTTTATTCCGAATGCATTTTGTTCTCAGCTGGTATTCTAGGAATACAAGCTCATCTATATCTTGTAGATTATTCTGCATCTCACTACTCCTCTGCCAGATACGATGACTAATGCAACTCAGGAATAAAATAGATAATTTCCCCATAATTTCCTCTTAACAGTTTCATTTATTTTTCTGAAATATAACCGACAAAATGAATTGTATCATGCCTTTTTCTCTAAAATCTCCTGATAACCAAATCTTTTCAATTCCTATTCTGGATATTCAACGGCATATGATGCGGTGGAAAAAATCCTGTTTTTGTAAGGATGACGGAAAACCGCTTCAACGGGAATGTAAGGCCCAGGCGTTATAGACTTTTGTTGATAAATTGTAGCTTAATAGACCGCTACCAACGTGTTTGGTGTATTGTACGTTTTCCATCGTCTGTGATTAATCTCCGTATCACAGCCAGGTGCAGTGGTTCATACTTCCGCCCTCGATTAGGCCTTCCATTTGTGTAGCCAACTAATCGCTGTAACTTTTGCAAATCCATGTTAAGATAACATCAAATTCGCCTCGCTCAAATGAATGGGTTTGGCCTTTTAGGTAAGCTGAATGGAATTTTAATTACAGGGTCCTGGCACAATATTCACTTTGTTTTTAAATGTTCTGTCTGTCGCTGGAAGCATCAAGAGCTGTCCCCTAATTGAAAAGCGACATGATTTTCTATCCGGGTGGTGGACGACTGGGAAACCAAGTTTCCCAAAAAATATTTTCAGGTTAAAAATACAATTTCGCTTGTCGGACTGGTCACTCCTAATTGCAAAATATATGGGGACCAGTGCATTGTTGTTTTGCACACGCAACAGGCATTGTACAATATCGGTGTTTGATGTGTGGCTTCAGTTACTAAACTTATAGGTCATTCAGAATAACTTTGACACTGTGATTTCTTTGTAAATGCATACCACGGTTTATAATGACTAAGTCAGGAATGATTGAACTGCCCAAATCCGTTTTCTTCCTCGAGGAGTCAGCAGGATCTAGGTGGATCAGCAATACACATTCAAGCACACATTCAAGCAGTGATCATATTTACGAGTTGAATACTTTCCTGCTTCCTGAAATGAACTCTGCTCTGAGGAATTTCACGCAAAGGCCTATTGGGGAGACTATTCCAGCCTACTCGGGAGTTTGCTAATAACTTACGATGTTGTAACGGAGCATGGAGGTTGTCTTAAATAATGACTGATGTGTAATTTTTGAGACATGATGCCTCCGATGGAAAGAATTAACGTAAACCAGAGTAAAAAATGAAGTTAACCTGAAATCTCTAGGCAGTGCTGCAAGCAGTACTTTGTGTTATGGCTCCTTCACTAGTGTATCACCACTGAAACGGGAGAACTCATGAAAAACCACTGTAACGCATCAAAGTTAGCGTTGGTTTATCACATGATGACTTAATTTTACTCGTACTGTAACGTGTAGACAGGGATCAGGTTTTGCATTTAGGGTTTTTTTCAGTTTGGCCAACATGATATGTGATTTTATCAGGGTGTCCTGCTCTTCTAATTCATAAAGTATTCTGCCACGGATTTTCGTTGCATGAAATAGGGTAGACTACATACAGAGAACGGACAAGTGCATCCTCTCCTTGAGGTTCATCAAACAGTTGTAATCGTTGAATTATGTTATGTGAAATCCACCTTTGTGAAGAAAATTATTGTACTTCTGGGTCAACTGAAGCCTAATCATCTCAGAATGAGGAAAACATTCCACAGTTTGAAAAGAAATCGCACGTGCTTCGTGCTAAAAAGCAATCACAACGCTTTCTCTCTCGGTAGTGAATGTGGCCTGGTCGATACCCTTACTATAGTGAGGTTTTTTGCTCTTACCCTTAACCTTAGCTCAGTGAAGATCTCTCATGACATGAGTGAAGTGTATATTTGTTCCAAACACGTCCACAGCATCTTACCAGTTGTCAGTCATGAAACATCAATTCCGTGGCGTTTTCTTTAGCAGGTTAGATGCCAAGATTTTCCATAAATTTAGTAGTCATCTGATCATTTTCAAGTTAAGAGATTTCTTAAACTTGAGATACCGCCGAGCCGCTCTTCTTATGTTGTTAGATTTAACACATGTAGCGGAGAAGCATATGTCCTTGTGGTCTCGTGGTTTAAACTACCGAGCTATGTCATGGTATCCCATCCAGAACTAGACGAATGACAGCCTGATTCTCACTAGATTTCCGCAGCCGATTTAGCCGTCAAGGAAAAATCATCCGGTTGCCAACCTAAAGACAATGATCTGGATACACACTACTTGGAACGTTGGTGGCCTTGAAAATTTCGTCTTAAAAGGACTCACTAGGGGAATACCGACAGATGAAGAACTTGATGTTTAAATTCGTTGGCCCAAATGTCGAATTGTCGGTCCTGCAAGTACGGCGTCGTTGCATATGTTAGACGTGTCGCCAACAAAGAGATTTAATGTTAAATGAGGTTACTTCGACGGGTTGATTTGCCCTCTCGATTATCCACAAATCTTTCGAGAAAAAGCGGACCTACGGGGCGGTTGACGGCTTCTTCGTCTTATCTTTATAGGACACTGTGGAACAAGTGAGGTATTCATTTCCATCCAACATTGAGGACTGTGTCTTCCGTGAATTTAACGAGATTACAACTGGCAATTTCGTAGGGAATGGCGCCATGTCTACCAAGAAGTAAAATTGACGCATTACCACGGAAAATCTAGCAAAGTGCCTGCAAGTTCAGTTGTTGGATCTGACAGCCGTTTTAGAGGGCTCAACTTTACCATTAGGCTTCACCACACGACCGAAAAACCGTATTGACTAGGGAACATCCATCCAGCTTCAACACTGAATAGATCACATTTCACCTTACCAAGGGAATCGTAAGCGTAAAACTGAACACAGAGGAAGATGTAACTGAAATTTAACCAGCGAAATACACCCATCTGCCAAAAAATAGCTTCAAGAGAGACTCACCTGGAACCCAGATGAATCTCTCGTTTATGGTTTCCAGGTGGGTGTAATTCGGTGATTTTGTGTAATTTGGGTACAAGTAGAATATGAGGTTGACGGAAACTCGGGGACTTGCCTACCAGATGAGTCCCAAGATGGACAAAACCGGACGTGGGTGTCGAATAATTTTCAGCAACCTCACGAGTAGCGTATCACGCCTATGGAATGAAACCAGTTTTTGGTGCTGTAAAGAAGCACCCCCCCCCCCTAAGGAAGTGGCGAAGATGTCATATGTGCAGAAAAGACACCGGTGAAGAGATTCTGGGCGATAAAAAAAGATCCAACATTTGATCGTGGCGACATCCTAGTTGTACAGGATAGTTGTCTTAAGAAATACAGACACTTGTCAAAGGTGGATCTATTACCCAAACCGCCGTCAGTGCTCGAGGTCAACAGGCACGCAGCTGCAGCAAGACTTCATGAACTAAACGTTCCCTGTCAGACCAGTCCCAACGACCCAGTACTCCACCTAGGGCAAACGAAAGAAGTGCCTGGTACATATACTTCAACCAGTACACCTTGAGTGATAGTGGCAGCGCAGTTGGATGTTTCTAATGTGAAACCATAGTGTTCATGTGTACTTTTGCCCACATAGGCGAGGTGAAACGTATGCCCCCACTTTGTACATGCTTAGTACTAGATTCTAGGTTTAATGTGTCATGAGAAGCTCAGTTGAATCTTTCCTAGTAAATATATTAATAAAATTCAACAGAATGACTCAGTTAGACAGGTAAAATTCCAAGACATATACGTAGGTAATAACATAGTGACCATAAAATCAACAAATGAAGCAGTGGAGCCCTTCCAGGCACTAATCGCCAGCAAACCATGTATCAGTTAGACAGTCGAACACGAGTTGAATCATATAATTGCCTTTCTTGTTGCCTGACGGTTCTGCCGAGACGAGGAAACATTTTGTAAGTAATTTCACTGCGGACACAGTTGTGCCAGCCAATACCTCCAGTTCTCCAGTTTTTTTGCCGGTCTGCTATACAAGGAATTCATTTAGAATGTTGTATGCAAGAAGATACGGATCATACGTATGTCTAGACATAAAAATAAAAAGGGGAAATTCAGAGTGTTCTATGACATTTTAATGGCCTGAATAAAAACATGGAAGCGCTCTAGAGTGTGAGAGCCTGATGGCATTTGTGTCAATTCGGTTTATGCGGGCTCTTCGCACCCACATTTGCAGTTTGATTTTTCGGAATGTAACGATTACTTTAGCACGTCCTGGATTCAACTGTTTTGTCAAGTAATTGTTGATTACGTAGGCAAGTTTGATAATGCTAGACAATGCTTCTTTGATTTTGCTTTTAGCTTTCAAGCATCATGGAGGTCGCTTGTGAGATAGAAATGATCAAAGATCCGGAAACGCGCAAATCCAATGTGACTTACGTGGCCAGACACATAGAAGATGCCCTAACGACTCAAAGAGAGTACCGGTCTGGCTGTGGAGTAAAGTGCCGTCATTTTTTGGCTCGCAGCTGCTGCCTATGGTTTGGAAAACGCTACGGCAATTATCTCATATGCCTTTACTTAATCACCAAATCTTTGTACATTCTCAATGTGGTGGGACAATTTTTCTTCATGAATCGGATACTTGGGACAAACTACACGTTCTACGGTATAGACCTCCTACGCGATATTGCCGAGGGAATTGTTTGGCAAGAATCGGGGAATTTTCCACGAATTACTCTCTGTGATTTTGAAGTTCGAAAACTGGCTAACGTACACCGTCACACAGTACAATGTGTGCTCCCGATCAATATGTTTAACGAGAAGATTTTTATTTTCCTATGGTTCTGGTTTATACTTGTGGCTGCGGTGAACACAAGCAGTTTTCTTTACTGGTCTTACAAATCTAGTTTCCAGGGCAACCGAGTCCACTTTATTAGGAAATTTCTCAAACTTCGTGACGCTCTTGAGCCCGGAGATAAAAAACGAACTGCTGCTTTTGTGGATTCATACCTACGACAGGATGGGGTGTTTATACTACGATTGGTTGGACTTAATGCTGGGGAGTTGGTTGCCTCGGAGATAGTCGAAAGGCTCTGGAGTTTGTACAAATCAAGACAGACAGTGTCGGTTAGCCGATTTGGACAGCCTGGTTCCATGCAAGATATTGGGAAATCCGGAACACTGAGTCCCAGATCTTTTCTACCTCATCAGCAACGTTCTAATCATCAACACCATTCACACCACAGACATTATCCTAGCCCGACACCTAGTGGGAATCAGCGAAGTAGCCGGTCTTCCTTACCCAGTAGTCCGAATCAGGAGTTGGTATCTCCAAGTCAGCCGCCTCCACCACTATACCCTTCTCATCTGGGGAGACAGAAGATTCCTACTCCCATAGGTTTTGAATCACCACCACCACCGCCACTCCCTCCGTCTTCGAGAAGCACAGCTCCACCACCATTACCACCTCCGCCTCCACTGGGAGGAAGCGAGGGGAGAAGAAGCAGTTCATCTAACAGCCGGAGTCAGTCATCTACAGTTGGAGACAGTGATAAACATTCCGTACGTCTCAGGTCAACTTACGGATCCAGCGGGCCTAGCACGAGTCGAACTGGGGAAGTACTCAAATCCGGTGACACCGGTCGAACAGGTGCACCCAAGAGTGGTTCCAGCAACGCAGCATTTTCATCAAGTAAGTCCGAACTCCCACGAGTCAATCAAAACGAAGAGGATCCTGGAGAATTTGTGTAGATCCGTCCCGGACAATCGGATGAATGGGAGACGTGAGTCTTCCATTGGTTGTTCCAAAATGTTAAGTCAATTAGGCAAGCAAGTTACGTCTAAGACAGAATAATTAAAAACAGTTATCCTTCAGAGTGCTCAAACAATAGCTATTTTAATTTACACATCTCTGTACAACCCAAACCAAGCATTTGCCGTTGCCTTTCCGTATTTCTGATTCCCACCCAAATAAAGGGCATATGAACCCCAAAATGTTAGTTTTGTTCCCCATGATTATATCGCCTTTTGTATTTAACAAATCATCAACAACAAACCGAACCATGATCAAACGTGTACATTCAAAGCACATTCAAGCAGCATGTTTGTTCATCTGGTTCCAATGACCTCTTTTGGAACCTAATTCTCCTACCCAGAAACATTCCAGTCCAATTTCCTACGCCTGATTGAGGCATCCTTGTGCTTCATTGCTAACGCATTTCCAAACACAAGACCCAAAATTTGTTTTACCTTTAAACCAAAATCCTGGTACTCCAATACCCAACTGTTTCACGTTTGAACACATCCCGTCCGACCAATTATTCTTTATTACCACGTGATTAGGTACTGTGAAATGTGCCAAGTACAGCTTTTGCCTACCCGAAAGGAACGTTGCTTTTCCATTCATGAGGTCGGAAATTTCAAAACTCTGATTTAGACCCCCAGAAAGTTAGCGGATGAGAAGCTAGGGAGACACTAGTGAATAGAAAAATTAGTTACTTACATCTGGAAGTCCGAGCTTTATTCTGATCTAGCTATATAACTGCAAAGGCGACCTCAAAGTTACAGGCTTCTGATGAGCTTTAATCTCGCTAAATTACAAATGGTATGGATCTCTTTGACAGAAAAGATCAAAGGCTCACACTTCAACCCCCTGCTTTGTAGCTTTTCGTTGAGTTGATAATGTTGTGGAATATAGGTAACTCGGTTGCGCTGATTGGTTGTTGGTCCGTTTGCCGAGCTTGGAAGTTGAGTTGCACACGTTTCGTCACCAATCGAGGTGACATAGTCAGTGCGGGGTTGATTGCTGAGTTTTGTATACTCAGGTTCAGCAACGGTTTTATCCCATAGGTTTTGCGTAAAGAAAAGGAATTATTGTCAGCAACATATTTATGACGTATTGATGAGTTCGGCCTTCTGGGTGGACATGCACAGCCTAGAGTGGATAACTAGGGTCTTGTGTGCCGGAGAACCTTCCTGGATTTCAGCCAAGAGCTTCAGAAGGGTTTTCATCTAAGAGGAAAAAGCAACTTAAGAGTTCACTAGCCACTTTTGTTTCAGCGACCCTTTACCGTCAAAGCTGGAATGCACTTTATGAATCCTACAAATTTCTCACTTAACACTACATAGTTTAGGGTCCCCTTGCTTGATTATAATTTCTTTGCATCGCGCCACAAGCTGACCGTATGACTATTGAGGTTCAGTTTTGAATTTTCATATGGACACTTCTGTGAATTTACTCCGAAATCTCTTGATACTGTAAGCTGGCAAAAACGCTGATCTAAAAATCCAGATTCACCAACGTTGAAGTTTATACTAGAGCTTCATTGAAACAGGTCCAACAAAACGTCCAAGAAACGGGAATGCAATCCTGGGACGAAACTGAGCCTATGGAGCTGTTTTAAGGAATATACTAAAAACGAACGAAGTTCTTGGGTATCGGAGCCGGTTGGTTCCTGAAAACAATGGGCGTGATAGAACAAGAGTAAAGGAGGCCACTTCACGTGCACTGGACCAGAGACACAAGCATGTTTTGTTCAACTCACCTCGTGAGCATTTACAGGCTTTCTAAAATTTACGAATATGGTATCCCGAGACGACAAACTCTTTATTTCACTGGAATACCCCATAAAAACCAGTTCAGTTGCATTCTAAACTCAGCAAACCAATCATAAAACTAGCTACACACAAGATCTAGGATTCGGCTGAGCTTACTGAGGTGATTCGAAGCTTAGATGTCTCCCAGGAGGACAATGTCATGGGATGTGTTCCTTTGTCACAAGCGTCCTCCTTGTGCTCACATGCCAAGAAACTGAATATCTCTACTCATCATCCTCGATTCTTTACTCTATCGTGGACTAAATATGTAAAGTTCTGACTTAACAAATCTCTACCCAAAAATTGATGGAGTGGCGGTGGGAAGCCCAGAAATGCATGCTCCCCACGGTAATGTAACGTTCGCTGTATTTGATGGCAACTTCCGTACGCAACCGACAATGGAATACTTGAATCAGTGCCACACAGGCAGTTAATTCACAGTTGAACATAGAGTGAGGTCTTTACACTTCTCAGATGTCCGATTGTTAAGAAAAGACGTGTCACTCATCAAATCTATAGGCCAACTTTGACAGAAAAATATCTACACCGTCATAACGTCTGTGTACAGGCAACAAAAAGATTGTTCTGATAGGAAACTAGGAAGAGATATTCAAATCCTGTCCGCCGTACTGCAGTAGCTCCACCGGGACAAGCACGTCGAAAGAACTGAAACGCCGTTACCCACAAGAATAACGGCACGTCTGAAAGGAATTAACACATAACAGCTAGAAAAATTCCATCCAATGTAATCGACCGCCGCTGTTGGATTGCAACGAAGACAGAGAAACAAGTTACCCAGTCACAAGCTGTCAGAACAGTTGTATATTAGGCGTTGATTCGACGCCTCTATGTTCAGAATAATCGGTCTAGCCCCAAGAAGACCAAGACCGGTAATGTGTTGTCGAAAAGCATTGAGCTAATTCATAAGCAGTATGTTGAGTCGAATAAAAAACACTGCTGTGCGTAACGGAAACTCTCTTCCAAGCTATCCAACCTAATCAGACAATTATTAATGAAACACATCGCATTGGGCGTGATTGTTTCTGGTCCCAATGTTCAACGATAAATTGTGCCACACACACTTTGAGGGCATTAACTCACATTCACTTACTAACCCTGGACTTATATTACCCAACGATAAAGCACGTCAAACGGTTCTCGGAAGAAACAGCTGATCACAACCCATAGGTTATGTCGATTGACCGACTTCCCCGGACAGCAGGCGATTTTCGCACAAGCACGCGAACCAGAGCTTCGAAAGCCACAACAGCTTGAAGCAATCATTTAAGAATATTTGCAGTATTCGGTACGAATGAGGTCGAATAGATGGTGCTCTGCGTAAGGCACTTGTTGAGGCTGATTAGTGGTGAAAAAACAACGATAATTGAAGTTCCTCATAGCTCAATGTTACGACCACCATGAGTAACCGTCGGAAACAAGGTAATCGGAATCGCAATGTAAACAATAGCCGTTAAAGAACTTAACATCCTATCACCATTTGTTATACCAAGAAATTTCAAACTGACTACAAGTGCAGTGCTTCACTCCAGATAATTGCAGCTTTTCGTCAGAGACAACAAACGCTCCATCTGCACATTGTGCAACATAATACCCGACGAAAGCGAACAAACTATGTATTGGTTATCTGGCATGTAATCGAACTGATCTATAGGTTGGCTGTCTACTTATGCTGGTGTTTTTCTCCCTAGGCGGGGTACCTAACTTCGATAACTCTCTTTCACTTTGTTTTGATGCGAACTAGATTATTCAGTAGCTTTGTTAGTTCCCCGGAACTAGGGTGCATTAACAAAAATGACCATAGGCAAGTCTTCCAACGAGTTTACTCCAATTTATTGGCATACTAAAACGTGTCATCATCATCATTGTCAGCTATAATAACCGCGTACTCGTCATACAGTGGTTGTAGCTGCCGCAAGTTTCGGTCACCCGATGATTTGGAGGGGAGGGGGTATGTAGCTGCGCATTGCAGGCGGGAGCTGATAAATTGGTGCATAAATCCAGCACTGTCAGTGGGCTGTCAAGTGGGAGGATTGGGAAGGGAGCTATGCATTGAAGGCAATAGCTTTGAGGGCGCGACTGGGCCATGTCTGACAATGTCTCCACCCATTGATGTGGCCCGTCTCGAGGTCCCCATCCAGGAAGACGGCAATGACCAGCACCATTGAGTTTGCTGGTAATTGTTTTCACACTTCACTGCCAAGCCATTGTTTGACCGCCTCTGGCTCTCTTCCACCCTTCACGTGGTTGTGCAAAAAGAGCCCTTTGAGGATGTCAGTTGACTGGCGTACGCAGCACGTGGCCAAGCTAGCGCAACCTATGCATGCAGATCAGCTCAGCTATCAAGGGTGAGTTATTTCTCCCGAATACCATTCGACGTACTTCAGAACTGCTGATCCAGTGTTCCCACCAGATTCGGGCAATGCTCCGAAGACATCGATGGTCAAACACTGAAAGGCTTTTGACGTCCTCGGCGCGCAGCGGCCAGGTTTCTGATCCATATAGTAATATGGAGCGCACCGCAGCATTGTAAACCAGGCCACCGGGACTGATACAACTGCCCAGGTAAACAAATTTGTCTACTACCTCAATCGGTTCATCCGCAAGCATGAGGCTAGGGTTCGAGCCCACCCAGTCTTGCAGTAGCACTTTACACTTTGCAGGTGTGAAGCGCATACCAAACCGCGAGGCAGAATTATTTATATTATTTAGTATTGTTTGCATTGCCACGGCGTCAGATCCAAGAAGAGCTATGTCGTCTGTGTACTCGACGTCTGTGAGCGGAGGCCCAGGGAGCACTTCGACCCCACAGGCATTAGAGGCTGGTAGTGAATCTTCCATGATCGTATCAGTGACGAATTTGAAGAGGAAAGGTGAAAGAGGACGGCCGCGTCGGACACCACTTGATGTGGGAACACAGGCGAGCTTCCCGTAGGCCTTGATAGGGCCGCGGAAGTTGGCGTACAGCGTCTTAGTGAGGGTTAAGAATTTATGAGGGACACCTTTGCTCCACAGACACTGCCATAGTGCTTGGCGGTCCACAGAGTCAAAGGCAGCTTTCAGGTCAAGAAACAACCGTTGTTGGTTGCTGGAAGCAGTGTCGCTGTTCCAGAATCTGTCGGAGGGTGAAGATATGATCGATGCAACGTGTGTATACAGACAGGATAGCCTTCAGCCCGAAAGAACTTCAGATTTTATTGCCGAGTACCAAGTGAGATGACCTTCCGGTTCAAGAGAACCATACCTGACTGACGCATACCCGAGAACTAATTAATTGCGTGAACTTCTCCACGCTAGATTAAATTGGGAAAGGAAATAGCTTCAGACGCCGTTGGATGACAAATATGTATTCCGTATCCAAAATTCACCCAACCGAATAAATATGAGGACTTCACTGAGCACATCTGTTTAAGCTTCAGCTAATCCAGGACTAATCCGCTCTACCAACTGTCCAAGAGGTTTTCTTGAGCGACGCAATGAGAAAATAGCAGAAGTTTTCGGTTTGAACTCCAGTTGGCGAGTAACGAGACAAGTTGTATGTTCCTACTGAATACTGTCACTACTACACTGAGCAATTTGTGTTCCGGACAGACTTATCATCTGCCGCAACCCGTTGGATTCCTGTTAGGTATTGGCATGGATATAAGGTAAACTGGATGAAATTAGAGCTCGTCGGTCTTGGGAGCAGTTCACGGGAAAAAAGCTTACACCACACCTAACGTTGAGTTCACCCATGCAAAACCGTCAACCGAGAAAGTGAGAACTGGCCACTTGCGTGAAATAAACCTGATTGTTTAGAAAACGGTTCCCGGTTACTCGATCGGTTGAAACTATTGCCAAAATGAAAACGTTAGGTCTTGAATTCCTGAGGTGCACTTTCATTCGTCGGTAACTGATGAAGTGAATTGCTCCTAACTTGGGACATTTGATTCCAGTACGGATCAAAATCACGCTCCCGTCCATTCACTGGTCATTCCCTCATAATAGTTGACCTTGGATCAACCGAGTTCATGATGCGTAATACTGCGCATTCATAAGGTACATCGTGCGGTATTGGGAAACTATCCAGGATGCAGGCAGCTTACTCAAGTCTGACGTTCACCTCACCAGAGTGTTCACAATTTCAGGGCATTACCTAGTTAAAAGCTTTTCCAACCGCCAAGAGTGGCTTCTGTTATGAAGATGAGCGAACCCAGCGATGCTATTGATCATGAACTCGATTCGGAGGGGACAGTCTGAGTTCTGAATATTATCTGTGATGGAATTGTGACGTTACTCTGAAGCGTCTATCGTTAACTCATGTCAACAACAGATATCCCGAACAATCGGTACTTCAACAGAGACGGTGTGTACTTTAGTTCGCCCCTCCCCCCTCATCCCACGATGAAGCAGATAGAAATCAATCAGTAAACCCCAGTTCAGAAGAAATTACGGAAAGGAAACAGTAGAATTTTGCTTAGATATAGAAGCAAAATATGATCAGATACCGGTAAGAGAAAGTAGCCAACAACCTAATGCCGTTGAATGTCAAATGTATGTGATGAGTCAGTTATATTGGTAAAAAGTGAGAACTGAGAAGGAAAGTCATCAAACTTATATGGAAAGCAGATGTGTTTCGGGCTGGTGCATCTATCTGCGCGTATCTGAAGAGCAAAGATAGAAACGAAGGAGATCAAAGTTGCGTAAAAATTCATTAAGTTAGGAAAAGCGAATGGAATGAAAATAGTGAACAAACCGTTTCGTATTCAATATCAGCTCGAGAAGAGAAAAACACCAGGTCCAAGTTAAAAAGCAACGGAAGCATCACAAATAAAGCGGTTGGAGAGAGTACACACAACTGGCCACCATAAAACATCAAGTAAGACATTGAGAAGCCACAAAGTAATGAGATAAAAGGCCACGGGCAAGTTCAATCATACGTAGATAACAAGGCTGTAAGCAGTTTGTGGGGGTGAATAAAGGCGGGAATAAAATGACAATGCATAGGATTTACAGCGGGGTTGACAGGTTCAGGGGTGACTGAGATAACAATGTAGTACATAACTCTGGTTCTGAGAAAAAGCGATAGCAAGCTTATGGCTTTAACCAAACAAAAATAGATGAACACTACAAAGGAGGCTGACATCTTAACTCAGGTCCCTGGGTACCAAGAGGACATCCAAAGGAGCGTTGCCATCGGTACGATTGTGTGAAGAAACAAAAGTGGGCGAATCTATGACATCCGTGAACCGCGATAGCACGATACACAGCTACTACCGCCATGTGAAGCCTCTGGTTCCCATCCGCTTGGTAACTGTGATGTAACGAAAACATTGGCAATAAAGTAGAAGGGGTAGTAAACTCTATAGTCAGATAATGTCGAAATCAGTGAGGGGGTGGGTGATGTTAAACTTCGGTAGATGGGTTTTGTAAAATTACGGAAGTCCCATCGGCTAAAATATCAACGGATTCATCGATTCGCATCAACTTGGGCAGAGTACACTTGGACTATAAGTGACTTACGTAACTCTAAGCCTGCCTCTGAATTGTACTTCACTTGTGTATAAAGTACCAGGACAATGTTAATTTTCTGCAGTCCATGAGAGTCGAAAACAGCAACGGTAACTATGGAGTGAGTTATGACCAGAGCCTACCAACTACGATGAATTTAATGCGAAAATTAAATGAAACCCTCGTCTTGAGTCTTTCACCCATATATACAGTGCAAAAATGACCCATAGTTAAGTTAGATCATTATTCAAGGGAATGGAGTATGCCTTTACGATGCGATACTCAGTTCGTATAGTGAAAAAGCACCGACAGTCTGCAGTGTTGTCCGATTTGAGCTCGTTATGCGAGCGCAGTTTCCAGATTTCCACTGGTATTAATTCGCACGTGAATAAAAAAATGGGAAATAGGTGAATTTCAGCACACACTCGGTGGTTAGCTTGGGGTCAGGATGCAGGAAACACAGGAAGAAGCCAAAACAAGCGAGGCGAAGATATGAAGCTTTATGGGGAGAATTTAGCAGGGCGAAGTAAAACAAGGTAACTCGCGTACTTGATTATTACGGCTTGTTGTATCAGACAACCGAATAGCCTAGTTTTGGCAACCATAAGCCAGTGTTTACCACGCTGACTGTGAACAAACTGTTCAACACGCTTCACATTTGTTTCAATCAGAATTCCTGTACCACCGCATTTGGATAAGCAGAAGCTATCAAAACTCTATTAAGGAGCTGATATCAGCGCGCGTGGTGCCTGGATAGGGTCGGCTCTAGGTGTGACTCAACAGCGATGCCATCCTACAGTATGTGTTACTGACCTGGCCAAGGCAGGCAGCGCGGGCCTGCGATTCCTGGTATAATGGACTTCCAGTGGACAGCAGACAGTAATTTTGAAAATGCCCCTCGTGGTCATCCACGTTGCCAATTGACTGACGTATTCCGGATAGTAAGCGCGGTACTGTTGTGTTGCGGAGTTTGGAAACATATGTCGGGTAACAGGTTGGAACTGAGGCCAACGTCGACAGTTGCGTAACATTTTGCCAGGGAATATCGGACTTGTGAACATAAGGAGATGTGTGCAACCTGTATTTGAGTTGAGAACCCTACAGTCGTCAGTTGTAGTTGTCAGTGCGCTCTCGAATGACATGCTACTAAATTCTCGTTTCCCTGTGTCCCTCATATAGACTCGCTGGCCAAAATAATTGCCTTGGCTATATAGGCCCGTTTTACCGCTTTCATCATCGGACAGCGTATCCACCCTGTGCTTTTTGGCGCTACGTATTTTCGTATTCCCGCCCGCTTGCTAGTCAATTCACATTCAAAGTTTGTCCTCATTTTTGTTCGTTTTGCTATCCTTGGTACCAACTGTCTTCTGACACTGATATCGACTTGGTGATCATAATCACTGTAGCTGCACGTCAACTAGAGGCTTGTTCCACGGGTACAATTTATAATGAGGAGGAAAATAGACCTCTGAGAGCTTGAGCAAACATGTGCTGGTTAATAGAAAGCATAAATCGAATAAAAATAAGCAACGACAGCCCCGTGAGCCCCCGTACATACCACGTATCGACAATCTGAATAAGTCGTGAGTGGTCGCGTAATCACATGATCAAAACCGTCTTTAAAGTGTCCTGCTCATCCTCTTCGTCTTCATCATCTTCCTCCTCTCTCGCCAGTCTCGCAACCTGGTAACCGGAAGAATTTTGGGTGGACAATTCACCGTTCATTTCGTTCAACCGTATTTGCTTAGGGTTGCTCTGCTTCTCTTCGGCTGTAGATGGCGGGCTTTGTGAATATTTCGACTCGGGAAATCCGACAGTACTAGTCAATAGGTCTGGATGACTGCAGATTCGCTCGGATTGTGAGTGGTCAGTGGGTGAACTGGCAATCGTTTCCGGGGAGAGTTGTATCCGGTCACACGAGCCTGGGTTGATGACTGTCGAGCAGTTCTCGGAACTCTGCCCAGAATGTAAATGCAATGAAGCCGTAGTTCCAAGCAGACTTGACCGTTTTTCGTTGACATCAGCTCTGTGGTCCGACTAGAAGTTAGATATAAGCGTAGAGATAATGCACCAGGTTACTGAAGGACAATCGCCTAGTGGAGTGTTATCATGCGAAACAACCACCGTTAACTGCATGCCGCTGTTACATGTTGGTGATAAGCGATGAAGCATATTAAGTAGTGGACACTCGGGTGAAATATGTGTGTAATTACTCCGGGGAATCCCCTGTTGAGGCGCTGATGTAATCTAACTACCAGATCTCTCACACAACCACAGTGCTTACCTCGATTTCGGCACTTCCAGCTGTTGTGGCTGAAGTAGTCAACAGATTCGGAACAATCAGCGGGTCAGTGGGTCCAAACAAGGAGACCTGATTACACCCAGGTGCAGAGAACACATTCTCTACAATATCGCCTTGGTTCAGACTGGACAATGATAAGGCATCTTCAGTTTCGTCCAAGTCATCAGTGGTAGCTGCATCTTCCGTGCCATAAAGACTACCCGTAGGTGTTCCTGTTGAATTGCATAAGTCATTCACCTCATTCCCGGGTGTGTCCATCCCAGACCAATAGCCAGCAACCACCGCACTGGGATCGTCCCAACCGAACAACACGAGCGGAGCGCCGTTGATATGCCGGGGATTTGGTCGTGGGTCTACGCGGGATGTGGCGAGCTGATACGACTGGTCAGTATTCATTGGAAAACGCCGAACCGTGATGTCGGTTGGAGTCGCTTTGGTATCCTGTGATTTTGTATCCAGACTTCCTGAGTGACCTGGTCGGAAATCCTTGCTAGATCCAAGCAAAAGCGAACGCGAAGCCCCACGTTCTAAAATCACCGAGCTTCGACTAACCGCCACAACCGCAGAATAGGCACGCATCTTTGGAGAACCCACTTCACCAGCGGCTTTGAGACTGGAATACTTGGTTGTGTGAATCTCGCGCGCTAACTCAGAACCAACACTTAGGACTGGATAGAGCGGTGGAACCGAATCAGCAACAGCAATCCGCGTATCGGAGCTACGCAATTGAAGTCGGTGGATAAGATTAAAAGCTCTTTGAGGGGTCGTAACCTGGTTGATTGCAGTTTGAACAGCCGGGTGACTGAGGTCCAGTGGATTCTGTTCCCTGTCACTATCCAGAAAGCATAGAGTGATGGTAATTATGTTAGCCAAAATCAGGGGAATCTACTGCAACACACAAGGGATGACATAAAATAAATACTGTTAAATCGACGCCTCAGTGAATGGTGGATGAACGATGGAACATGTGGTTTATTTTAAGAGTGTATGTCGTGATTAGAGTGGGAAAACTTCTGAACTAGATATTGAGTTTCAAGCTACAACTCCGACGGAGAAAACCTACAGATGTCTATATGGTTTCCCATAAATGCGTAGGGATAAATTGCAAAAATATTACGGTGCGGTACCTGAACGCATATACTGCGTTCGGATGAGCACACAGCTTACAAGAATACCAACCCGAATCATCCGGATCATTTCATGTCTTTCACACTGAGAGACACAAATAGTCAGACCTGAGAGTATACCTACCGAGCATGCATTAAAAGCGTAATTATAGCTGGGTGATAAACTCGACCGAGATGTTCGACGGCTCCGACGACGGGCGAGGGTTTCTTTGCTCGAATACCAGGACGAGAAAATACGTGTTTCCACAAGGACCGCTGCGGTTCGGGAACCATCGTGAGTGTCCCATGCACTGGGCAGCGTGACAGCAAGTGAGTTGACTCCGGTTGAACAGTAACCAGAGATGGGCATAGAGAACTCTTGATATCCGCATCACGAGCCGACCAGCCGCTCACCCGGAGCCCTAGGTTACGTTCTTCCTCCGTCAAACCAGAATGCGCCCGATAGGAGGTAGGCACATCGACTCGGTTTGTGCATGTACACAAACCCTCTTGATGGCCAAGGCTACCGCAGCGTTCCGCCAATTTATGCCGGTGGGCACGATCTATGTCTGCTTTGGTTGTACATATACAACATTTACAAGCGTCCTCCAGACGGGCCGAAATGAAACACGGTAGTGGGTTTATGGTAGACACTTTTGGGGAAGATCTGAAGAAAAGAAATAGACAACATCATTCAAATGATGAGGAAAACTGCCCACGAAGTGGAACAAAGAGTCACAGTGACCATACACATGAGGTTAAGTCCGTTCGAGACTGAGTATATACATTCGCATAGGTAACGATACTTTATGAATAGAATCGTTTCGATGAACTACGTGTTTCACAAATAACTCCACAATAAAGCACTGGTCTTGGAAAAAAAATGGAAGTTCTGAAATGCATTGTTCTTAAGAGAGAGGACACTCTCAGGCCCGGCCGAAAGCACACATACCCCTAGTGCTACGGTTACAAACGTTCTCCGCAAAAGCTTTGATATGAATTGAAGATACAAACGGATTCAATCCCAATACTTCATTTGAAATAAAATAACATGGAGGAAAAAATTCGGCGTTTATGAAACAATGATTGAGCCAGCCAGAAATGTTTACCGTGAGTAATAGGAAGACTCATCAAACATAATTCAGTTGCATGGAATTCCGCTCATTTACTTCGTTTATTAGTTCCCATTGTTTTTCGCAACAATAGAGACGCCATAACCGCGTGTTTGTTCACCGTTTACGGAAACCATGCAGACGTTGAGCTCGCTGTCCTCTGATGAACTCCTTTGGGTGTTTAAATTCTTTCGGTGCTAAAAACTCCGGAGTTCACCGTTGGAATACCCACTATGTAGCTGGGGGTATCCAGCACCTGGAATAAACTTATATGAAAACCGTGAGATAAAGAGCTTATTTGTTCCATTGTCTTCTTTTCCTTTAAAAGATGAAAGCTCTTTGGGTTCAAAACCAACATCGAAAATGGTTTTTTTTTCCTATTCATGGAGAGAAAGACATCTGGTTCCATGCGCACAACTCGACCCGAAGAGCTAACATTTCAGAATAGTAGCAAAGGTCTCAAATCTCCCAAAGTGACCTAGTCAAGGAACAGTTTAGCCCCGGAACTCCGTCGTGAGAGAACTGAACCGGGAAGAAATATCAGGGAACAACTATGGAACATAAGCTTTTAGATGGAGAACAATGACCGACACGGCACGTACTGACCATTCGTACTGGCCATACTGACCGTCACGTGGTGTCATTAGCCGTCGCAGCACACAGCACGGCGGGTGAGCGAGAACAGGCCACTGCCAACGCCTTTGTTCTTTCTATTTTAGCACTATTGTTTCCGTTGTTTGCAGAAACCTGACTCCGAAGACCACTGGAGAGTACAACTATCAATGATCATGATGACGCGAGATGGGCCGAGAACTTTGAACAACCTTTTTTCTTAACCACCAACTGCCACCCAATTGGATCCTGGAATTTCAGTAGAACGATGGACAGTAAACCTGGAATCTCCTACGGCCTCGGAGGTTTATGATTGCATATGTCCTCTTAAGCGACAGTAAGCATCTGGTCCGGATGACTTCGAACCCACATTGTTTAAGCATTCTGTAAGCATCTTTCCTATTTTTGCCTGCCCCTTGGAAAAAGAGAATGTCCCAGATGACTGAGATGAAACAGGACAGTACCGGTTTCCAAAGATGGGTGTGGTAATCACACGGAGATCAGCGTGATCCCAGTCGTAATGGGACTCTTGGTGGTGCTTGTCCTTTATCGCCTATGGCTTGTGTAGCACTGGCTCGAGTGCCCGGCGGGTGGTACGTTGACCGAATCCTTACATTCAATTAGGTGATAGCACAATACTCAGCGTAATTGGACTCCCGAGGAGAAAGATGCAGGCATTTTGTGATGGACTGATCAAAGTCATCTTGTCTTTTGGCATGTGCTTTGCACCCACATAGTGCAAGGTCATGTTCCCAGACCGGGAGTCACTTAACACGCCACATACAGCCCAAGGAGAGGTACACAAATTCACGGAACGATTTACATATATTGGAAATTATAGTGTGACAGATGAAGCCAACGCAAGAATCCCTAAGGTCGGCGTTACGGTTGCTAATTTGAGACAACTGAGGCTGTAAAGAGAATATCACTGTATCTCAAAAGAAGTGAGTATCGGGCGATATTAAGGGCAGCTTTGTTGTGCGCCTGTGGTTTCTAAGAATAGCCGAATTGAGATATTTACTTCGATAACCGTTGTTCTAGAACCATAGCTCGCGTAGGCTGATACAGGGGGGTCCGCAACGAGGTTGTACGATTGTGCAACGGGGACTTCAACAGACGGTGTCGTATTGCAAAAAGTTGCGATACATCGGTTACGTATTACCGAATCATCGTTCACCGAAAAAAAGTGCGGTGTTGCGTGTCCAATTGAGAGTGGGAGAAGCAGGACAGTAACCAAGTTTTAACTTGGCAGAGGGTTGTGAAAGAGATTAGGAAATGTTTTGATACTGCCGGTGCGGCCTACCTCCTAGGATGGGGTGTGCTTGATCCTTCGTGTGCATGTCCAGAAACGCCACAAATTATGGCCACTAAGCGGCGTCAATGACGTTAGTGCTGTCAGTTCCTATCCAGATTTTCTAAATGAGTGTCCGGAAGTATGGCAACCTCGGAATGATTGAAACAGCTATGCACTAACTCCCATCCTTATTCTTTCCTTCGCAATAAGGCTTTCAAATAAATTATATTTGTACGCCAGCGGAGCATCACTGTTGAACACTGATGCTGTGCTGCTGATAATGATGTCATATTTCTAATGTCGGATGTTTCGTTTCAGACGTGAAAATTTGGCTAACACTTTTGCTCACAAATAACTCGTATAAAGAAGTAATGTGGACGCGGAATAAAATAGTGTATCAAATAAACCTTTCGTTTACGACATTCTACAAATGAATTGGCAGAAAATATGCATGGGACAATACTTAAGACATCAAAGGAATCTGCTCTGAAAGTAGTACTGCTATTGCGTCTGTTTCGCTTAGGTGCATAGTGTTCATCCAACTTGAAGGGATCATTAGTGCTGAACTACGTCTCAGCTTCCAAACTAAAGTAGTTGAGTAGAGCTAAGTAGTAAGATTTACTGAGATTGCGAATAACCCTATAGACGATTACAAGCTGAGACACAACTCCCCAAACTTAATGGAAAATTACGTTTCCAGTGAACAACATGTCCGAAAACGAAGGTAGAGGAGCAGGGTGGGCTGGTTCAAACAGTCCTGATAAATTATGCAAATAAGGATATCAGTTCGCGGCAATCATTATCAGCCTCGAGGAAGTCGGTCGGGGAAAATCGATTACCAGCGCATAAAATCAACATAAATATGAAAGAAGAAAAAAGAGTTCGCCCACTGGTAACAACCAAGGCCAACTGTGAGTAATTAAACTCCAGCAGTTAGTATCGCGTTGCTATTGAGCACGGACAAGTAGAGATAAGATTAACAGCAGAACAATGTTGAAGTGACTGTCTGCACAAGATAAAATATCCGTGGCTTGAAATAGTTGTCTGATATCCCTGAGACGGAATAAACAACGCAGGCATGGTTGGCAGGACAAACGTCAGGCTTTGCGACCACTAAGAAGATGGGCGTAATAAGTGTCGCTATTATGAATGAGGCTTCATAGAACTTGGCAAACTACCATAATATGGATTTTGGACAGGCGGGAAACGTTGGCTGCGTGCGCATGTAAGAAAAGACCGCTGGTGGGGCACAAAGCTGCAGCGAAAACCGGTGTTTCATAGGGAGCCCCTTAAAGTAGTTTACACTAGAAGTTTCTGAGACCAAACTAGTCGACTTATTTTTACTTGGTGAGTAAAACTTACAAGACAGAAGAGAACAGCGAACAGGTGTTATCTGAAGGGAACTACTCACAAGGTTGCTGAAAACTCTTCTGATATCCCTATTGTAGAGGATGAACAAAAGGAATACTTGAACCGTCTACCGGAAGTCCGTTCTTCCACATGTAAGTTGAGGTACCAACCGTGTTCGCATTCGTGGGCGATGGAACACGAATGAGAGAGGTTTCTCACAAGAGCATCTATAGACCAGTGCTTGTCATTTTAGTAAGGACATAGCAAACGATAGGGTGGTTTTTTTCGTAATGAACGAGAGGGTTGATAATTGTAATGCGATTTTGGGCCACAAATTAAAGTGAAGTGAAGCAAAAGGTGGAAAATCACATCAAAACCATGCAAGAAATTTACCTGAAAATTTTGCGACGCACAAAAGATGACGTTGAACGATAGCGTAAGCTAGTAAAGGCGGAGACAGGCGCCACTCAAAATTAGCTGTCAACAAGAGTACGGTTAATGACTCAGCAGCGTTGCTCTCGCCCTGGTGATTCATCAATGAGGGTAAGCTAAGCGCTGCTGACCCTTATATGGATGATCAGTCCAATTACTTATGTAACCAACACCTGTTCTGAAAGTTTTTTTTAAAAACCTTCAGTTCAATACTGAGGAAAATTTTGGTTTATCGATGTTCACAGACCAACACACCGCCACACTCCTATGCAACGATGACGACATCCCGGTGAATTGCAACACGCTTACATCGAAACAATCAGGCGCAAAAAAAAAACAATTCAACTATCAGTCACCTTCGGCGTAACACCGAGATACTTTAAAAACGAGCCAGTGGTTGGAGCTACCAGATTAGCTAGAATAAACAAAAAAGCTATCACGTTCATTCGAAAAAAACGAAGGTGCTACTAGCCCGCATTAAGCATGTGCACAGGAATCTTGAACACCAGATGCTATTTTTTGCACATCAAAACATCCTAACATTTTTCACTACGTTTCGAGAAAATTCTTGGAAACCCCAAGGTTTCGACAGAATTTTAAAAGGAATCTACGTAAAGTTAAGGAATAGCAGGAGGTAGTTTGAGATCTGACATGAAATCGAAGGAATTCCACAACTATCGGAGCGTCTTAAACTGATGCCGGATTTCCACAGATTCCTCGTGATACACTTCAAAATTCTGACCACGCTGTCAAAATAATGCCACCACAACGCCGGTACGTCGTAATGCGAAAAAAATACAGAGTCACATATGAGAATGATTGGGAACATATATCACCAGTAAACTTCAACAGGAACTGTGCATGAGTTTACTGCTTCTTGCTTGTTCGGGCGGCGACATGAGGTTACATGAGGGCAATCTAACCTGGTATCCAAAGTTATACGGCCGTGTCCTGCCATCATCCAACTAAAAAAGTGGTTTTCGAGCAGCGACGGGAATTCCCGGATTTTATTCAGAGAGTAGTCCGTAGGTTCAGCGTTCAAGCTTCTGCTTGAATCATTTTTATGTAGTAACTGATGCAGGTGGCATCCTTGCGAGAAAACTCTTATTGTCTCCACTGGAGTCACCGGATGGGCAATATCGCACGCCACCATCCAGCGATAGGAGTTCCATTTGCCATGGGCGCCTTCAAATTAGCGGTTAAGCCCCAGACTTTAAAACCTGTAAACATGTTTCGTAAATTAAGATGTGAAAAAGGGCCGTTTTACTTCTGTATTCTAGTAACACTAACGTCCCGCTGGTTAAAACTAATAAAACCCTAAGGAAAAGTTTTTGGATGACAAACACTACAAGTTCATTAAAGCCTCGAACCCAAACGTTCTGGGTGCACTAAGAAACTTCAACTACAGCAGAGAAAAACGTCAGCGGTACATTCCTTTCAAAACGGACATTTTGGTTCACAAAATGAAAACGGGGAGAACAGTCTTGTGTCATTCTGGAAAACTCCAGAGACTATTCACCAAATAAAGCCCATCAGCGTAGGAGTATTCCAGATTTGCCGGAAAATGAGATCGATTTCACGGCCTTCCTCTTCATGAGCTCCTCTCTACTGTTAAGGATCAAAACAACAGGAATAGTGCAAATCCAATGCTACCGTGAAGTAACCTCATGAGGTTTCCGAAATGAACTAGCGACGAAACCCAGGATAATGGGTCCATTGAGGTAAAAGTTGACGGAGTTATACCAGAACCTACGGTAATGTTTGTGCAGGAACGCAAACTGCAGTAGTGGATGACACTGCACTCAACACAAAAACGGTAGGCTACTCACCTCAAAGGCAACGGCAAATGACGGCAAGAAAGTGGAGCGAAGGCCGACAGAGGGAAAAGCGGAAGATCGATATGAATGAATGCAATTGGGTCGGGTACAGCACGACGTTGAGATGTTCTCAGCGTGTCTGGGAAGGCGAAAGATACCGCAAGACCTTTATCGGAACTGCTTATCAAAGCTGAACCTATCTCACTCTCCTGTTGAGGTTTCTCAGATTCCAGTAAATTTGCATTCATTTCCCGTTTGGATGGAGAAGCGGGGATGACTGTGCATCGCTGTGACATAAGGTCACTTGTGGAAGCCACCGCATCGCTCGAAAGTGAAAGCACTTCTTCTTCTGGTGGAGCTGGAGAGGAACAAAGTGCTGCACCTCTGTGTTTGTCAATCGCAACTGCATCCAGAGACCGTAAACTTGTCTTTCGACTGACCATTCCTATCAAGAAATCTTGAAAATGTTGGATCAGAGACGGCTCGCGTACCTGAAGCGGGAACAATAGAATGGGGGAACTGAGTGGAAGTACAATAACCTAAAGTATTACAGCACCTCGTGAAATGGAAATGCCGAATCACTGTCCGAAGTTATGCTCCAGAACTACGGTGAGAAGTGCCCATAAACAATTTCACTTTATAGCAAACGGAAACTATTCCCAACCGAAACAAAGGAACGACCAGCCTCACACTAAAAACCGATTACAATGCTAGGGTGCCTCGTGCTCTGAAGTGTTCATACGAGTGGTTGAAATATAAAACTGACACGCCAGCGAATTTTTCCTTTCCAATAAAGTCCAAATCCTGTGCGGTAAACAGGAATGATTTTAAGATAAACAACCCCGAATAAAAACCGCTCATGTTAAGTTGTACACAGTCATTTATCTTCACACGGTGTGCCACACCTGTGACAGGTCACACAAAGCCTGAATGAAGACAAACTGACAAAAGAAAAGATGATATATTGCAGTTATCGGCACGTACGACAAAAGGCCCTTTAAACATACAGCTAAAAGATCACCAAGTGCAATCAAGTGTCAACGCAAGCCGTGCGGCATGAGCCAAATTTTGGATGGTAACTCTTCGGCAAAAGTAAAGACCATCCGATTAGGGAGGAAATTGCCATTTACGCGCAAAGTTTAGGTCACGTCGTAATAAGCCAGAACTTGCCTGTCAAACTGAGGTACCCCACATCATATGAAGGGAGTAGGGTGGAATGAAAGGCCACGTGAAGAATGACCACAAAGTTAATAGCTGGAAAACAGCGACTTAATCGGTGTACATTTCATTGCTAAGAATGACAGGACAGGAAAACGACTCTAGTAAAGAAGGCTTAGGTTCAATGTGATGGTAGCAATATTGATATTACTAGTAAGTACACCACAAACGAGAGATTCAACCGCAGCCCAGTTGAGTCTCCCGTCAAATAGTCATTAATGTCATGAATTTCCAGCTCAACACCTAGCATATCTACTTAGACCAAAACACCAGAGGAACACTAAATCGTTCAGCTGTAATACCCTTTCGGTGCCTAGCTGCCATGCAACTCAAAGGAAGCACGAGAGCTGGGGTATTGCCCAAGCCTAGACAGGGGAAGACAGAAGGCAGAGGTCAGGTTCCAACACTAACCCGACTGAAAGTACAGGTGACACTGGAGGGACGCAAACATCAAGGACAACCACTTGAATGTGGCAGAAAAGATTAAGCGGACCAACAACATAGATGATGGACAACGGAAGCAACAGACCTCTCCAAACAAGCGACCTTTAAAACGAAACTTCAGTAAACCTTGGCCACGCTAAAACGTCGTGCCAGAAAATAATCACCCTGGAAACAGATGACCGTGTTTGCCCGTGGTTGAACGAAGCAGAAAACCAACAACCTTGTGATTACAGTGCTATGGATAAACAGTGGGTGAGAGTAGTATACATTGACAACACACCTTGATCAAGGTTGCTTATTGAAAATGCTACCTGATAACGAACTAGAACATGACATCAGAGGTTTACGGTATTTATTAACTCAGCGGACCCAATACAGCCTCAGGACGGACATAATTACTCATTGCCTCACAACAATCCCGGTTTTTTTTTTTTTCATGACATCAGAGGTTTACGGTATTTATTAACTCAGCGGACCCAATACAGCCTCAGGACGGACATAATTACTCATTGCCTCACAACAATCCCGGTTTTTTTTTCCTTGTTCTCCTTGCGCGCCGAACATCGTCCGTAGCCCCGTCCCTAATTTACCATGAATATGCTAGTGGCATCTTTGTTCGGTATCCATGCTGGTTCATCAAACCCCTATTGACGTTAAAACACGTTCCAGGTTTGGACCAACTTCGAGAATTTAGACGGCATCAAAGCTTGATCTGTTGTATACCCCTACCAACAGTCTCTAACCCTGGCACCTTCAATACACCACATGCCATATCTAAACATATTCACGTATATGTTATCGGGTCTCTCGTTCACCCTAATGACTTAATCTATAAACACGTTTGTGTAGACCCTTCCATTTGATGGCTTTAGGCAGTTCCTGTGAACGACAAACACGAGGTAGAAAATTTAGGAGTTAGCCCAGTGATCCTTCTTTTCGGTTGCATTGTAGGCATTTGATTCCTGTTCATAACTTGAGAGATTCAAACTACTGACTAATCCCACTAAATGGATGAAACCGATGCACGCTGCTCTGGGATAAAATCCATGATGGGAAAAGCCCCTAGCATGGGGTTTCCAAATTGAACAGACATGCAGTTGGTAAAACGAACCGACTACATCATCTGTAGTATATTTTTGTTTGGGTTCAAAAGTATTTTTTTCATAACGCCCCATCCTGATAGTTTCCAAAAACATCCGGCACCAGGGATCTAATTCAAAGGAAATGAACTAAGGGGATATGTTACCTAAATGAACGTAAATAGCTCTTTTGTCTCTTATTGTTTTATCGTGAGCAGTAGCGCCTAGAATGATCTCGGAGGTCTTCATGGATTATATGAAACACCTGTATTGAAGAAAGCCTGAAAGGTTGGAGTCGATGCTTACAAGCAGAAGAGATTACGTAATGCCCTGCCCTTTCAGCCAAAGTAACAAAGACTCACTCATCATCATCATCATCAGTAACATCAAAGACAACAATGACAGTAACGCATGATCTTGCTTAGTTTCCATATATGGACTCACTAGGGTTTTTAGACTGAATACAGGAACCCGAAAGATTCGAAGATTTGGACTACTTTTGGAAAACGCACCCACAAAAATGTTCCAACTATGCAGAGTGTAAAGCGGTACACACCAACTGAAACAAACGCCTGTGAGCCGAAAATTGTACCAATTGAACGCATGACACACACAAAAAATGGAATAACTTACCTGGAGTGGAAAAACAGTATCATTTTCAGTGATGCAGGTGAAAATCTGCTCACCAAAAGTTCGACCCAAAAGACTCGTGCACAAACCTTCAATGGGGAAGAGAAAAAATTGCCTAAGAGGAACTGTTTTGCAACTCTTCAAAACATCATAAACGAGAGATTCAGCTGGGTTCCAGGTGAGCCTCCAGCAAAACCAAATTTGTTTGCAAATGAGTGTATTTTGATAACTGCGACTCTGTTTGAAATGTCATGTGAACGATTAAATCATTTTTTTTAAAAACAAATATTACGATAAACATTTCCCCGCAAAGTTTGATCCGAAGGCGGTAGCGATGACCAACGACGATTGAGAGGCAATTAAAACGAATCAACGGGGTGGTTGGGTGAATATCACACGCCTCAGACGAGCAGGAACGCAGTGAGAATTACGGAACCGCGCCAAAAACAACTATTCCGTTCTACGTTATTTGGAAAGACTTAGATCGACGACTAATTACTCGACTGCCATTCGCCGAGTAGATGGACACTTCATACCAACCATCACACAGCCACACACTGAGAGAGAGGACCAAGAAGGAATGAGATGCAAGCCTGAGAAGAAAAACAATGACCACGATAGGAACACTTGGGATCATTTTTTCCTCTTGTGGTTTTATTTTAATCCACGAATAAATTGTTTATTCCCGACTACAATGATCGAGAGCAGTTTCACCTGAGTTACTTTGACCCGCGGTGACTTGGCAAATATTTACGTGAGTCAAACAGGAAGTGGAGAAAACACGAAAGTCAAATAGCTCCCCCAAGGTCAGTGGCAGCATCAAGGAGAAAAAGCAATCCTGTTTCAGGGTTTGCATAAGAGTATCAGGTTGCAATTTGCCGATACAATCAGTTAAAATGGACTTAGTAGGCTGTAGCCTAACGCGACGAATTATGGCAGCGTGGGACAGGACTTAGACCTTTGTGCATCACAAGTAATTCCGATCTGTTTGTAATCCGGGAGTGCGGGGTAATAGAAACACCTCAATCAAATGGTCAGGGGATAGGTTCATACGCAGCATAAGAATACCATTGAATAATAAACCTGGCTAGGGTCCCGGAACCCTTGAAACAAGCCAGCTGGTGGTCTTCAAAGACAAATTTGCCCGGGACGCGCTTTCTTGTTATCCGGTGCACCGTCTGAATTTTTGTCTGTGGGAAGGGCCAAGTGAACTCGGACTGTTTCATCCCGGCCTCATTTAAGACTGAGGCGACGCGACGACAAAGTTCATAGAGCCGAGAAGGGACCATTAGCGAGGTACTTTTATTCCCTCTTACTTTTCGTTTTCTGGTGAAATCATAGAAAGCGATGAAGTGTCTTCGGGCCAAAACGAGAGGCCGTGATTGCCAAAGATCTCAACGGACTCAATAATACTATCGCCACAAAATACTTGGCCACCCGTTCGATGCGCCACCAGGAAGCTCAAATGATCAACCAACGACGCTAACTACAAAAGAAGGTTCTCTTGAACTGACGAAAATCCGGATAAACTACTGCTGTTGCTGTTGAAATGTAGTGCTTCGGAAATATGTGCTCATCAGTCCAGTTTTAGAAGGCAAACCGCAAGGATAACCACGACACTGAAAGTATGTGAAGCTGGCAGTTTCATGCACCGATATTGTGTTGAAAGTGTCCCAAGCGTTCCGCCTTGGCATTAGAAGGACTGCTCTCAGTTTACGTGAGTCTGAGAAAAAGTTGTATACATCTACCGCGGATGTAGTAGTCCCGAAAGTGTGTTGTATGCACTTTAGCAACCCTGTGCAAGGGAGCACATCAGCCGTATTCTGGAAGGTAAGTCGCACGACAAGACCCTCGAAATTTATTTGATCCCCTCCGCTAGGCCAAAGGTTGGACACGTTTCTGCTTGTGCTGTTCTGAATTGCGCATGGCTAACAGCATTCCTGCTCGCGAACGATGGTTCCTTGATGTACACACTGAAAGTGAAGTCAAATCTACTCAAACTAATTGAAACTTACAGACTGAATTTCCACATCGACAGCCGACTGCTATTCGGGTAAACCGTGTCAGACAGACTGATTGTGATTTGACAAAAACTACTTCTACTGATTTTAATTCTATACAATCCGACTAGAAACCGAGAATCGTAATAACTGCTACCAGCTGTACACCCGAGTAGTTTCGAATTCCTCTACAGAAGTTACTCCCAAAAATCATTCCATCGACCAATTCAGTTTTAGTGATAGGATAATACAAGTTAACTTTTTTCCGGCAGGGACACAACAACGCTCAGATGTACCTGGGCCGGTCCGCCACTTGTTCATACCAAACATTTAGTCAATTTATCAGAAGGTTCCGTGACTCACCTAGATAGTCATCCGTGTTCAAAGAAAAAGCGGACCACCATGAGACCAGGTCCTGTTGCAGCAGATCCAATCTAGCCGCTATTCGGTTTTGAAAGAAACACTCAGTAAGCTCGGCACCCATGCGTAGAGTGTGCTGAATATATCGCGAAGGGAAAGTGGAAGAAAAGCACTGGAGAGTTAGGCTCAAAAAGCACACAGTGCGTTGTAATAAGTCCCATAGCAGCCAGGCATGTCGCAGAAAAAAATACGATTCAAACGCAGAGAGAAAGTTACATATGCAAGCGCGAAGCCTGTAGGGATCAGTTTCCTTGTCAGGCTCATGACATGCAAGACAGGGCAACAAATTGCAAACAAAAAAACAATGCGACTTTGAACAGAAGTTTTCGACAGCAACAGAGAACTTGGTGAAAGCTGAAATTAATCATCAGTTTATAATGGGCAGCTGAAATGGGTAATCAGTTCCTGATAATCCAAACCATCGTGGACACCGACGGAGAATTTCTGTCGCATTTTTAGTAAGAGGAATACATAAACGCAGAAGAAACGAGGCTTTATACCAGGTTCCCTGAGACATGTGCCTGCAAACGCGTAAAAGTAAGCTGAATATCTGCGTCAAGACGTTTGATGGATAGGTCGCGTGGCCGGTTAGGTATAGTTGATCAAGGCCGCACGGCATCCTTATTGCTATCCTGAGGACTACCATCCTAATGGATAGTAACAAACCAGTAGAGGATACCAGTGATTGACTTCCATACATCCATGAACAAGAAAGTCCAAAGTATACAGCACAAGACTACCGGGTGTTGACTTACTGAGAGAATGCTCATGAGGAAACAGTTCAGGAAGAAGTGAATTCACAGTCCAAAAACACCGAAATAAACACGCCTTAAACTAATAAATGAAGGCGTTCACTTAACCGCAGTTGCTCGCATCCACAGCGAACTTCAATTTAATAGGGGTTCGCTTCTCAAGTGGTTCCGGCTTGTCAAGTTCACGGAACAAATATATTGCAACTAAGTGACATGTGTTGCGACATGTATACACTCATGGCCAACTGCTTTAAGATTGTCCGAATTAGATCATTCATATCTCACCCACTTGAACTAAATCCACTCCGACAGCTGTCCCGGGAACTGACCATATAACTTCAGTGAAATTCGTTTCCGACACCGAAGAAGAATCTAACCCGTGCACCAAGATGCACTTTAACAACTCACGATAAAGTGCGCTTCAATTTCCCAGGATCAGATGACGACAGCGTGCGTGATATACGTTCCTCTCATATTCGATCATCCCATACAATAGCATCGCGAGGTCAAATACCTTTTGAGTATGTCGGAATACTCAATCCATTCAAGACTTTCTTCCGTAAGTATATAATCTTTTGGACCATACAACAAAGTTCGCTATAAGGGGCTCTATCACAAGCGTTAGGTACTTCCGGAAGCCGAGTGGAATAGAATTCACAATTCATTCCTCGTTTTCTGGTGATTAGCAGAAACCATGGAAAACTCACATCAAAATGCTGAGACATCATGGAAATGCGGTAAAACTATAGGCGCAGTGAATAGCACGTATACACAATTGATATCTCTTACTCCATAATTGGTATGTACATCGTATGCTTTCTAAAACGATTATGGATATGTGAACGAAGAGACAAGGCCCCGCCTTGTATCATCACTGTGCTGTTAGCAATATCGCATTTTTCATAATACGGACCTCACCAGACTTCCCAATGTGGAATACCACATGGATGGTCATTGTAACCTCTTCGGTCCAGTCTGATCACAAGGGCGAAGGAAAGAGGACATTAGGAATTTACAAGCTGCTGTACCTGCGGAACAGGTTACAATGTCTAATCAATTCGGACAAAGCGCGAGTATATGTGCTTTGGGCTCTCCATCGGTTACGCTTGGACGAACTATTCCACCGCAGATTCGGGCAGAATAGCAGTCCATCAGTTTAAGCTCAGTGTGGAAACCCTGTGGGCTGTTTTAACGCTGGTTGTGGTCAAAATATGGGTCATTTTGCCGAGATTCATCAGTTTTATTCCGATTATTATGAAACATTCAAAAATATCCCGATACATTCCATAGTGTCCGACATTTGAAGGTACCTTTTCAGTGCGAGACAAAAGAACAGGATCGGCACATTCAAAATCCGATACAGTGGACAAACTGCGACACTTTTGTTCAGTTAGGATGAACTGGGTAGGTCGTTCACTGCGAATTTCCCTAACGTCTCCAGCGGGAATTTAAATACGACAGAAAATGAGTAGAACCTACCAAACAGCCTAAAGTTCGTTTTCTCGCACAAATAAGTAGAAATTTTACAATGAACTACGACCGATCGGTGTATTTTGGAACAGAGATAAGGCTCAAAAACGGATGGAGTGCTAGGGCAAGATTGGGAAGTGCATAATTCGACCAGCGCATTTCATCATTACCCGAGGTTACACAGCTGATATCTTAATTTTTTTCAACTTGAAAGAACACGTTTGAGTACATCTTAGTGACTACCAGGATTGGGTTAACAAGACAAAGAATCAAACCTGCACAACCCGCATCCGGTTCTGTAGTTATATACAGCGCTTGCTCGTAAGCTAACCAAGTAAACGGATGAGAACTAGCTGTCTATTGAGGCCAACTGTATCAGAGTTGCTTCCTAAGCTGTCAACGGTAAGTGGTGTTCACCCATTGGACACTCAGTTTGTCCCATCTTCGCGGTTCTGGAACCTCACAGGTGTCGTCTTTGATTCCATTCCTGAGTGCTACAAAGTTTTTTTTCATGCGAACTAAGTGATCACCGAGCGTACCACTGAGCACTTCATTTACTGGTTTCCAACATTCGTTTGTCCAAAGTTATCTAGCTGCGCTACAAAAAACAACGAAGTGTCGCGGTAAATACCAACTTAGACTGACCCCTCAAAAATGTCATAGTTGAAATGCATGCATGCATGTCATAGTTGATGCAAAAATACTACACAAAACAAGTACGACAGCTTATCTGAATGCACACTATGTATCGATAAGGAATTTTCTCCTTAAAGGCGGTGCGAAAAGTTTGTCTTTGTTGGAAAATTATGAAGCAAATTTGTTCAACTTTAATAGTCCATAGCCTGCAAGTGTGGTAAATGGTGAATCAAATTCAAGTCTAAAAAGCGGAAGGAAATCAGTGAATCAACCGAAGCCCTGGCCTATAAAATGAACTAGGTTACCAGTGACGGTAATAAATCAGTAGTACCTGCTGGCCCTCAACTGCCATATAAGCGTCAGGAAGAACGTAAACAAACAGCGAACAAACGGTAACTGGTGTCGAACATGGCGTATATTGCAGATGGCAGTTTCACTCACTGTTAAATCTTGCGTTTATCACACTAGAAGCATGGTGATGTTATCAAATTGTCAAAAGGCAGAGACAGTGGGGCTCATAACTTACATGCAAATCTCGATCGGAGAGCTTGATACGCTGCAACTGATTCGGCTTCAGGTGTAGCTGGAGAGCTTGGATACGTCTAAAAAGCGGACAAGGGAATAAAATGAAAATGGATTCGGGAAATTATGTTCTTAGTCGAAGACATGAAGCCAGCTGATAAGCCATGATTTGATGAGGCGATTAAGTGAATCAGCGATGAGGACAAGTGTTGGACAACTGGGTGAGCTGTGTTCCAAAACTGCCAATGCAACATTTGGCGATAACCGCGAAGTAAGCTATAGCTGAGTGTGCCCACTCAACAGGCCAGGGAAGTCCCGTTGTTCCTATATAGAGGCCAGTAGGATGATGATTTCTAAAGTTCCTTTTCTTGAAACAAATACAATGCGAATCTGTTTTTGGGCATTTGGATAGGCTCAGACAAACTCGATGAATGCACTGCCGAAGCAATGACCAAAATAGCACTGATGATAAACGATATAGTTATTCAACTGTAGGCTTTTCATTTCACGCTTCAGTTGATCACAGAGCTTCAAAGTAATCAACCGTATTGCTTTCACGCCGCTTATTATGGTATCGAATTCCGCGGAGCTTTTTCGCGGTGGACATGGAAAAATTTTTAGTTGAACTGTTAATGAACTCAGTAAATTCGGAGAACAGGTGCATGCCTAATTGACACAAGGGTGGGCTACAGAACGCACACAAACAGCATTGGCATGGCAAAACGGAATAAAAAGCACCCGAGTCTCCCAGAAGAGCATTTAGTACAACCCGGGATGAGAAGTCAACACGCATCGAAGTACCTCACGAAAAGTCCCCCTCTCACACGCTCTAACACAGCACGAAAGACACGCAACAAGGCACTTACTCCTCAGCATTCGATTGAATTTCGGAACGCCACAGTTTTGTCTTCTGGCACAAGGTAGTGTACAGCTTTCCGTCAGATTGTGGGGTTACACATAACCAGGACAGACTCTGAACCAGGCGCCTAAGGCGGAAAAATAGAAAATAATCCCCCAGAGTTCTTTTAACACCATAAGGAACTGTATTAATTGAGTCAAAGCTCTAGATATAACTTAAACGAGGCCTGAACAAACACAACGAAACTATGGTAGGTCGATGTGATGTGCCAAACCAGTTGGAAAATACCGAAGTCTCGATGACGGCCAGTATGTTCGTTAGGCCAACAAAATAATCAGACCATTCCGCCCGTTTCATAGGTTATTGTATTTGAAAAACATCCGAATTCCTCTTATCGTAAAGGTAGAAGGTGTACATGTAAAGGTGAGCTACAGCCCACTAAGAACAGACAGCAGGATCCCATAGTACTGATTCTGAACAATAACATACTTGCTGCGTATTGCTAGGCTAAATTCGAAACGTTTACCGTATCCGGATTCATGATCTTCGTCACTAGGTTAGTCTCCATCGGACGCGACGTGAACAAAAGACACAGGAAAACAGTCTGATTCAATAAACTGTACGACGCTCGATGCACCAGAGCAGCTGTGACTGCCGATCACAAATTTGAAAAAGCTACGCTAGCTAATGACCCACCCCAAGCCCAATTATCCGCATCCGAATTCTACCGGAAAAGATTGACAAAACGTCCGCACAAAGCTGTGAATTCATTGGTTCTCATCATACAGGGTATACGACGTTGAATTAATTTGAAGAAAATACTAACAATCCCCAGCTGGTGCACTCCGAAACATGAGGAGACCTCCACAGAGAGTATAAGGGAAGAATCTTCTGAAAAACATTCTATAGCCACTGTGTGGAGCTCGGGACAAGTCAAATTAGGATTAACAGGGGCTCAGGCAAATCATATCTCATTAGCTACATCCTACCACACAAACAACTGCACGGTGAACCATGTGACACAGTTTTCAGAAACAACATCGTTAGCAATGTTATGACATGTTTGACAAACCTGTGAAAATGTTACGATTCACTGAAAAATATTTTAAAAAAAGGTAAAAAAAAGTCGACTTGTTAGGTTTTCCCAAACAACAACATGGCATCCGGTGCTCAGTGCTGGAGGAATAAACAAAAGACCATTCATGGGAGTTGATTCACTCAAGTCTCATGGAAAAAGCACATGTTCGAGGACATGAGACAAAACGCCGAGAGGTCCGTAACCAGTTCGTAACGTACCTATCGGGATAAGTAGGTTCATTGAAATAAACGGCTTCTGCTCAACGAGCAATCACTTATCACTTAACATCTCCGTGTCCATACGGTGATTGTGCGCAAACCTCTGTGCCGCCGAAGATGTTCGACATAGCAGACATCTATCATTTCTAGACTATCGTCATGTATCAGCAACGTCAGTATGAATTTCAAGTCTCCTGTGCCCCGCCTTTGCTTCGAACAGAATAGAAGAACCGGTATTACCAGAGTCGATCCCACTTAACTATATAGGGTTTTTACACGACAAAACACCCTGAAAGACTATATTTCCTAATGACCTCAAAACCAGTATCTTGATGTATGGGAAATTCTACCAGAATCACGCGCATGTGCTGGGAGAAAACACGCGAGATAAGCCGCATCACACTATGTAGGGTGTCCAATAATCTGTGCAACAAGCCTGGAACGGTCTTTGGAGATTATGGTACGGGCACTTACTGATTTCGTAGCATGCTGTCTGTTGATTTCATTGTTGACCATGATCCGGGACACACATCACGCTAATCAGTAAGGGTGAAGTGCGTACGATACAAGGGAAAAGTTCGCCTGTCCTAAAGGAAGAGGGTGGTATTTATCTCGTGCTTCGAACCGAATCACGGACCCTGTGTTAATACGCGGACATGCTTAATAAATAAAAAGTGCTACGGGCGCAAAAAGTTAGAATCAAGGCTGCTAGTTCGACATCTGCCTGGCTTAACCCACGAATTTAAAGCCTTGTTGTCTTTTCAGATACGAATGGACATGAGATCAGAGCCATTGTTAGGTTTGAGGCTGGTTGGTTGAGATCTGGCGTTTCGGTGCAAATGCAGTGCACGCCGTAGGAAACCGAGTTTTCGGTCTGAAGGAGATTCCGCATCATTTGACCTCAGGGGTCTCTTCGTCGCACTCTGGTAATTGATATGGTGTATAGTCGAGGTACTCAGTCACGTGTTCTGTTTTTTAGCACATATTCCAATAGAACAATTTCAGCACATGTAGACAGCATGGTGTTGTTAGTCTATACTACACTGTATGACAAATGGAATGAAAATAAAGACCGCCATTTACTACCGTCCTAAACTAATACACCCTTTTCATGTAAGGTCATCATGGTGTCTTCTCACAAGACGTATCGACAAATTTATTGAGATAATGCGACAAGAATTTCGAAGCACCTCAATAGTGATCTAAGTTCAAGGCGAGTAACACTCCGAAATTCAGGTCTGAGTGGGAACAACCTACGAGACACACCATGGATTGACACACAAGAAGATGTATATTTCGATCAAGAAACTGAGATTCTCAACAACTTGATCTGAGGATCTTATCCCGACATCATACGAAGGACGCCAGAAAGCCTTCACATGAGGAAGGCAAAGTAAGTCTACCCTAAAGTACCAACTGTAAAAATTACCTCGACAATATGTGGCTAATTAGAGGAGTCCGAGAAACTGCAGAAACGACAGAACCCATTAGATTACTTGCCCCACTAGGGAGAACCAGTATAGAATGGATGATGACAGCTAATGAGAACAGACACTTGTACTCCTTCGGGAAGTGCTAGAGAGATAGACACTGGTATAGTCTTGTATGAGCAAAAAAGTTGGTGTCTTGGATGGCGGGCAAGCGAACCGTCTGCAAGATGATATGCAGACTGTACGAAGACTTATATTGAACTAATAGACGTGGAACTGCATTATAGAGGGAAACACGAATAGGAAGAACGAGAGGAAACACCAGGAAAGTTTGCAAAGGTATTCCATCAACGAAGGATGTACTATGCGCCTATGAGTTATAATGGAAAAGTCCTGAGGCGGGGACCGTGGTAGCAGTCAGAAGAAACACACTCCACGTTTAAGGTCAACATTATATATACAAACACCTTGACGGCCGCCGGATTCACGGTATTTTGTATAAATTTGAGGTAAAACTGTTTCCTTCGAGTTGAGGAAAAGAGAGGAAATTTGTCATTCGGTAAGTGTCCAAAATCGACAGATTCTCCTGACAATTGCTGTGGAGAGAAAATTCTGCAGAATGTCAATAGTCCGTTTTCACGCCTAGATCGTATACCACAATAAGGCAAGTTAACGAGCATTTCAGAGTATTGACTTGACCAATATTGACTGATTAGCATATTAACTGATCATACCAAACCCTATCACCCTCGTACCGACATTTCGAAGTGAAATTGTGAACGATATTCTGGGGTCAACGCACTGACCGTTAGCTTGGCTACGCTTCGTGATCGATTATGAGCTTCATCCCACCTTATTTCTATCGGCTGACCAGTCAACCGACTCAGACTATAAGAGGCAATTTCGAGACAGGTCCGCATAACCCCAGGTGTCACTATAACTGCAGGTGGTCTGATGTAAAGCATGTCAGAAGGAGGCGGTGTACACATTACGTATTGGATTGCTGGTTGATGATAGCAGAATCAGGTCGATGGTCCTCTCAGTACGGCCGACTGCATCTTGAAACCTATTGTGTATGGCTGCTGTGAAATGTTCACTGCAGATCGCAATTGGCGAACAGTGTTTCTTTCTTTAACTGTGTTTGTTGTATCCTGCCACGATTCTGCTGTGAGCAACGATGAATATCTCCGGGTAGCACCAGACAGCAAAGTTTTCGTAAAAAATCCCTTCTCTCACAAAGAATCGGGAACACAAGTACGTGTGACAAGTGAGAACGAAGTGCGAATTAGATACATCTCAAAAACCAAGATGGATGAAATTTGGATCTACTGTTCACTTCACACCGAACATTTGAGAGTATGGCCGGGAAGTTTGCTAATGAACATATCCAAAAATGTAATTTTAGCTCTAAAAGACAAATAAATCGGGATACAGATGAGTAACGCGGTTGTGAACGCGTCCAAAATGGGTAGGATACACAATAACAAAAACATCGTCTACACATCGTTCAAAAAGGGCTGCAAAAATGTTGCCACAAAGCTGATGTATAAGGAAACCTATAAAAAAAACTCCCCACAACGCGTCTAGTTGGTACAACTACTGCTAAGTCATCGATCTGTTTATAGAGTTCCCTTTCGAACATTTTTGAACACTTTTCATGGACAACAGGATCAGTTCTTCAAGGTATTACAGCGGGTAACAGGTGAGATGTTTAAGGAGTGAGAAGTAGAGGTTAACATGAAAAAATACATATTCCGGGTGTGCAATAATACCAGGGAGAGTGGAACCTGAAGAAAACCCTTAACAAACTGAACAGCAAGAAGTTGACGAAGTGGATTGTATCTATCCGTTACCACCCTGCTAATTCCTGGTGGGCAGAATGCTGTGCACGTAGAATCGGTCTCAAAAAGACTCCCTCTCTACGTATATTCGGTGTCCCACGTAGGTGTGATGTTGCGATTTCAATCATGTTTTGCTGGCTCTGAAACCCATGAGAGATGAAACCAAGTTCGATTTCGTTTTTCTGTCCCGGTCGTTATCGCTATGGCGTTTTCGAAATTCAATTTTATGCGACATTTATCTTCGTTGTAACTGAACATTCCACCTTCTTTGTATTGCAACAATGTCCGAATCTTTGTCTGGATTGAGAAGTACAGAGTATTGCATCCTTCATAGCACTATAATGATTCTTCGTACGACAATACGGCATAAGCGAAGAGGACTCAGGACATGTGACCAATCGAGTGAGTGCGCCCAGTCCTGGAAACCCGCCATAAAGAAGTATATCCAAGCCACCAGGCTAGACCCAGAACGTTGCTCAGTTTCGCTAAAAACTTCAAGTGTGGACAGGCTCATCAAAAAATGCCGACCGAATTTACGCGCACAAAGGACAACGAAATGCGCCATTAACATGAGTTGGCGATGGAATGATAGGACAGGTCGGTCGATTTACCGATTGGTTCCACACACTTATGATACTCGTCTCTACATTGCGAAGTGAACGTTTTTATGCGCGACTGACACGTCAGAACAAAATGTTATTATGCTGCAAACCTCGCGCTATTGCTGCAAAAGCTAAGTAAAGTTGGACAATGTCAAAAAGCTGACGAACACTGTGCGGCTGTTTCATTCTTATTGGATGTGGTCAGCAGTGCGTATCTCACGAATCTCCAGGGTGATTCGAACGCGCAACCTCCCGGGTAGTGGTTGAAGACTAACCGTCCGACCACCAGGTGATCATGTTGCTGAAAAATCGCTCGTCATGGAACGGTCGGATTGGTGGGGATTCCCAATATACACGAGATAGGCGTACAGTATTTTTCAGCTTTTTTTATTAGATTATTTCCATTTACAAAGTGGAATCTCGATTGAAAATTTCCAATAACCTCACACTAACAACGAACTACAAGCAGTCAGGAGGAAGGATAATTGACAACACGAGTCAAACTTCTGTCTGAGAAGTCCTCATTTATCCGGCTAACCAACAGGTATTCATGTAAAGTGAATTCCGAGACTGAAGAATGAGTGGCGCTACATTCTGTGTAAGCGTAAGGTAATCGCATTACCGATGGGCTGTTCGTGGTCAACAATTTAGCATTCAGCTACTAGCCGATTGGTTTCGGGTTCGAATTCTCCTTGAGATTAGTGGCATGCACATGATCCGCTACAGGGACAAAACAGCTACATAGTGTATCTCGGAATCTCGAAGGAAAATTATTTCACAATCTTTATCAATATGTCATTCTGAAACAGCTCGAACGCAGTCCGTTCCCAGTGAAACATGAACACCCGTAAAATAGGTGTCCAACAACCGGGTTGAGTAAACACGAGTAGAACATGGACTGTGACGACCGGGTGGTGGCTAATGGGTAGTAAGACCGACGAGTCGGTGGGGGTGTATGATGTTGACACACAACAAGGGGAGGTAACGACGTCAGATAAGAAACATGTGGTTGTGGATTCTGAAACTTGATCAACCCCAGTCCGAGTGGAAACCGGAGTAAATGTCTGAGAATCAGGAAAACCAGAAAGAATGGGTGATAAGCCCGATGATCGATCGAACCGGTTGTTATCGAAGAAGCCTTTCGTGCGGCAAACGGTCTTATCAGGGCAGCAAGTTGCGAAATAAATGCAAGATACAACAAAAACAACGGTTGCATGCCAGTGAAGCATCCACAATTGTGGATGCCCACAGTGACAGTCACAGTATCTGAGGATTGTGGCACAAGCTGTGCAGTTCGTAACTGCACAGCCTGAGCAACTTATTGATTTCGTAACGGCCGTGTATACGGGAAAGCATACATCCCATGTTCTCTATAACTTCTGGTTTATGTTTGCCAGTAACTGGCTCAGTGCGAGTCATCGGACCCGCGATTCACGAGTCAAATCTGCTACATTAATTACGTTTGTGAAAAACCTGTAGGAGGAAAGTTAGAATAAAACTTATGCTCAATATACGACAGAACAGCACTCACCGATAAGAATCAATCGGTTTGTCAGCCAACTGTTCCATCTGGCGTCGCCATAGGTTGAGCTCCAAAAGCTCTAGCTGCCCGACAAGGACAACCAAAATGTCCACGGGACGCGCCTTTGATGAACAGTGACGAATAGCGGGACGGAAAAACAAATGATAAGTGTGAAACTAAAAACCGCATAACCGTACGAGCTTGGTGTCAACCTGAAAACGATAAGATCAGCCTCTCGGGAGTTTACATACAAGACTACCAAAGAATTTAATGTATAAGAAGCGCAGCGAATGAAGTCGGAGATCGCCGTGATTACATAACGCGGATGGGTTCAAATATGACGTGACAAGGGACGGTCGAATAAGGAAAGGTAGATGTTTCAATTGAGGTGTTCCGTAAGCAACTGAGATCAACAGTGACTCATCGGAGGAGCAGCGTGACAGCTTGGAAAGTTTGATCGGTGACAGGGAGGATTTGCCGCGCACCGACTGGTAACAGCTCTACTTCTGGCCGTTTTCTGCTAAAAGAGTAACAGTCAACGATGAGAAAACTCTTGAATCGCCTTTACAAGTGGTGAATTTAGGAAAATGACTGGTTTTCTGCTGAATATCAGTAGCCTCCTCAAATCCACAAGAAATTCAGTTGTAGACTGATAATATCTTCGCCTAACATGCAGGATTCGCGCGACTGAAGTTTGTCGGTGGTTAAGAGAGCATAGAATTCTAAACAAGGAAATCCTTTATGCGGCAATTACTTAATTTACGGCAAGTGTCAGTGTAACCCTCAAAATATGAATGAGTTACTCGAGCCAACGCGTCAAGTGACCTGTAGAATCTTGAAAATCTCTAAGGATGAAGTTGCTGTTGTCATCGTAGCAGTAGTATGAGTATCGATAAAATGGCCCATAACAGCCAAATTCATGAATTATATGGTGCATGGTTTTCTACGGTGTTAAAATCGGACCATTTGGGCGAGGTCCTCATGAACAAGCTGATCTTGGAAATAGTACTGTGAGGCAGGTTAATGAGAAACTAGCGACTCATGATTCATGCGTTATTACGAATGAGGTGAAGGTGTGTCTCGAAAATCAACTATTGTGATGGGAAGTTCAAGTACACGTAGCATGCGCGAAAAGACACGTCTGCAGTATGGCTCGAACCGCCGAATTCCAGCTTACCGTATAGGTGCTCTGAAGACTGAGATACCAAGGACGCTCGCTCACCGAAACGCGTACGTGAACTTCACAACTAATCCAACAAACTTCTCGTTAGGAATAACAGTTTGTGTATACTTTCAAACAATTAACGTCAAAGAAGAATACCATGGGCAAGAGACTGAGTTGGGTTCCAGGTGAGCCACCTGTGAAAATCCAAATTGGAATGCACATGAGTGTAAGTCAAATCGCGTCAATGCCCTTGTGTGTCAGGATGATGTGAGCATCCGGCCCACTGTGGAGGGTACCAAGAAGTAATCGCCCTGGCAGATATAGATTTAAATTCCATTAGGCAGGCGTGCAGTGTATCAGTAGTACAGTTCAGATGCACAAGGTCACCGGAGAACCAGGATCGAAAGTAACCCAGTCGATAGGGCACATGATAAGCGGGAGGTCACCGGCTGAAGTCCGTTTCCAGACCTACCTTCTGTTTTTTTCTACTCGCGCTTGAACTTACAAACCCACCATTTATCAAACTCCCTTCTACTTTCTAATTATGCAACATGGCCAAAATGGACATGTTGACAGACTTCTATGGTTATATCGCTATCTCATTCAAGGTAGATACAACTGCTTCATTTTGGAGCAGTAAGTTCACCATATGAACAGTGCAGCTGTGCTCACAGGATAAGTTACAATGGTATGGATTTTCAATACATTCTTCGACAAGCATCGAACTCCTACCAATATCGCCAAGATCTTTATCTTTACCTTCGGTAATGTGTTGGAATATTGGCAGCTCAGGTGCATTAGTTGGTTCTCCGAGCTCGGCGAACAGATCAACACCCACCTGATCAATTACCCAATATTTATCTCCCGAAAATATCCGCCAAACCGTGCTTCCCAACCGTAGCTCACGTGCCAACCTAGAACCTCTACCGAAGGGATAGGCAGCTTAACCGCTGCGCCATCTCAAACCCAAACCTTAGGTAGTCAAAGATCAATGAGAAATTCAGGAACTGGTGCCGGTGATATAACAAGGTGAATGGAAAGGATTTGAGCCTATCAGCTGACTAGCTGGATTGCTATGAAAGCCGCAAAGGTCGTTAAACATGTTTGAATAGTGCCGAATGAGGCTCAAGTTGTTCCGACATAAAGTGTATAAAACAGCCAGTGTTTTAGGACACTGCGTTCAAGCTACATAATCACGGGCTTCTGAGTCTTTCCCAGCAAAAATGTGGGCCAACTTCATCATCAATAAACTTAGCGTTGTGTGGAATTCTCTCTCAAAATTGTGGCGCAACCTGTCTTCAGGAGATCCACATCGTTAGTTTTTTCTCAAATACTCTCTCTGCGAACGACACAAAACATATCTTGTGATAATGGTGTGATAATGGCGTTTCCGCACACGTAAGATCGCAAAATGCCAGATACAAAACTGACGGAACGAGGCATCCGGTAGTTGAGAAGCTTTGGCGGTTGTCTTGATCGTTGAAGATAAAGAATCTGGATCTGGGGCACACAGCTTCTCCACAGGATAAATATTAGAGGAAAAGAACAAAGCTGTAAGCCATGTCAACAGGTTCGTAGAATTCAACCCCATACAGAAGCAAAAGAGGAACGACAGTAATGATCATCATTATCATCGACGTCATCAACAACGACAACACAAAAGTTTTCAAAATTTACACTTGGATGCAGTACAATCATCATCTATTTGAAAGCCCTGTCAAGAAGACAAGAATAAAGGTGGATGGAGAAGGGACTTGGGGCAGTTATTCTGAGGTTCCTTGACCTCGGACACTCATTGAAAAAACAGGATGAAAACCGACAACAACGACACCACTGAGATCGACGAGAAGTCATATCTGGTGGCATCTTCAATCATGGGGATCACGCGGGCACCATCTTGCAGACCTAGTGTGGATGGAGAGGGACTTGGGGCAGTTATTCTGAGGTTCCTTGACCTCGGACACTCATTGAAAAAACAGGATGAAAACCGACAACAACGACACCACTGAGATCGACGAGAAGTCATATCTGGTGGCATCTTCAATCATGGGGATCACGCGGGCACCATCTTGCAGACCTAGTCGCAATGAGGATTACCGTAACCTTTTGTGGTCATGACAGTTACAGAGTAGAATGAAACAGAACTACTGATATAATACAGAACGAATTAGTTTAGTGTATGTTGCTTCCAGCTAAATTCGCTAGCGTCAAATTGTTGGCATCATATGTGTATATTTGTGTGTTTGTTGTTTGTAAAGTCGACTACTTTCAGCATAACAACAAGCCCAGTCCCGGATCTAAACTAAAAATAACACCCTATTAGTTCGACAGCTTGTGCTGAATGGGATGGCTTTATATGATAGAAGAAAAGAAATTCAAGTACCAGATAGGAGAAAAAGTCTACTAATCAGGCCGCGAAGCACCAAATGGGATTTCCGTCGAGCTCCTGTAGTATACAACCCCAAGCGGACGGAAACGTTCGTTCAAGCTTACCCTGTAAAAGTGATTGGCAGCTGTACCAGGGCCCGCAATACGTTTCACCATGAAATCTTCGCGAGCTGGTACCCGCGCTAAACGGCGCAAAACGAGGTGAAACACCAAAGCATCCCATATGGAGCGAGTGATACAGCGAACGAACGCCCACACCAAGCGGATGACGGCCAAGACTGGGCAGAATATAAATGCAGCCAAGAAAGCCAGTATCGTTTGGAGCAGGAACCGGATGAGAAAGTGCCCAAAGATCAGCTCCACGATGGGGAATAGCCTATTTGGCTTGGACGCTGGAAAGAGTAGAGACAATGGTTTTGAAGGAAGTATTATAATGAGAACAACTGTCATCGAGCGGCCACTTTCAGATGGGATTACAAAATTGCAATTTAACTTGCTAACACGAGGAACTTGTAAACGTCTGGCTTGCGTGGTAACAAGGCTTAGCCACCCCGTTCAATATGGACTAACAAAATACGTTAGGAAGCGACTTGGAAAGAATATGCTAACGAAGAGTAATAGAACACTGTTCAGAGCTATTCATGGTTTTAAGGGTAGGGGAATCAGTACATACTAGCTCGAGTGTTATCGCAAACTGTCAACATCAGAAAAGAACCACTACCTGTTGACTACCCGATATTTATAGACCAGGTGATACCCAGTCTCACTCACAACCTGCAAATATGAACACATTAATGTTAAATCTCCAACAGCCGTCTGTCTGAGTTGTACACGCCTACTTAATTACGATTAGCCAACATAATAATTGTCACTGAGTTGAATTGAAATCTACGTGATACCATACGACTGCCGGGAGTCATCTGCAACGCAATGCCATCGCTGTTGTGAGCCGCCAAAACTTAGATCTTTGCTATCAAGATTTCCTCTTGAGTGAAATGGAGGGGGCAAACTCAATGGTGAGCACCTGAAAATGATTGTGTGAACTGAGTGCACTGTGGAAAGTTCAGGAAAATAGCTAGCG